AGAATAACAATTTGGGTGAATTAGACATCGTTATGCCGCGCAAAGATATCCACTTCACAAATCTTTTAATGCTGTTTTATGTTTAAATTTATAGCTGATAATTACGCCTCCAAAACTCAACGCCGTGCTATCTCAGAATGTAGTTGTGTAATACGTGTATTTACGAATTACATAAACTAATGTCACTAGTCCTGCGATGATGAATGCTTACCAGAGTATACTGTCTGATGTTTGGAATAAAGACTCGGTCTTCCAGACATTTATCATAGATGAATGTCTATCACTTTTATAGACTGGTGAACCACGTTGACATTTAATACAGATTTACATTTAAGAGCATGTGCAATGATCACAACCAATTGTCAACTACACAGGTAAAGTGGCATAATTTGAGTTTGTTTTCTCTCCAAGCACGTTTCTCTGAAGCAGCTGTTCTGGTCCATCGCTTTTTCTATGATTTCGGACACGCCTATAGCTCGTTCCGGACAAGCTGGACAATACATCTTAGAGAGAAATGCCGTTTCTTTGAGAGTGGCATTAGGCATATGTGAGAAATGTGAGTGAGGACGTTTTTACAGTTGGTTACTTGGGCTTTAACAATATTCCAGCAGTTTTGTATCACCGCGGGGGACACCAGAAATGGGCTTCACACATTGTGCTCAAAAGGGGAATCAAACCCGGGCGTTCGGTGTGACGAGCGAACGCCTTAACCACTTGGCTACCACTATGCTCCTTGAGGGTAAGGGCAATACAAAGATACGGCAGCTTCTTGATGATTTGGACAACAGAGACATTTGATAATAATGAATGGGCCTTTGTTATAAAGTAAATACATCAAGCTGCTAATTCAAAAAACGTAATTAAAATAAAAGCGCCAATAACATTTCTAAAATATTCCGCAATCCGACTATATCAGAAGGATGTACCTGTGGGTCACTACCAAATAGCGATGATACGAGGTATCTAAGAAAGGTTGAACATATCCCACCCACCGGTTGCACCCGGCATAAACACATGCAAAGGCAAGCCAATGGTCCATCTAAAAATACATAGAACATATGGTGCAAGTCAAAATAGATAATTGCATTCGGACATTATATTTATGTGCTATTTATGTCACTGATGCGTGAAATGTTTTAGTGCAAACCTTTGATATAACACGGGTGCTTGAGCATTAAAAACGTTAATTGCAGTATAACACGAATTGTAGTGAATCAGGACTGTTTTAACCATGTAAAGGGTTTGGGGCATAATACGTTTGAGGCGATTATTTGAGTATAATGTCATTGTTTACAGCTTCCATTATGTTTAGTTGTGTAATACGTGTATTTACGAATATCATATATATTAGTCCCTCTTTTCTTAATACACCTTACTATTTTTATCATATGTTTGATTTTCATTTGAAAATATATTAAGTTAATGAATGATATTAAATCCAATAACATGAACTGCTATCGCTTAGTCATAATTCCAAGAATTCTTCGAAATTTATTATTTTAATAACATTAAATTTGATTGAAGACAAAATCGCAAAGAAGAATCCGAGTAGGCAACTGTTATTATTAGATATCTTATCTGTGAAATGCACGTGGTTCAAAATTCATATCTTACCCAAGTATTCATATTTTACCCATTCACATTTTAGAAATTGTTGTAGGCATGAGTGGTGCTTAAACTGACATAATTTGATAACAGTTCTCTCAAATTTAACAACAGTTCTTTCAATTTTCAATAAAATATAAACGTACTCGGTGTGTTTTCTGTAGCCCCTCTGTTTTTATAGCGCCATAATGTTATAAGTAAATAGCTGAAGTACATATTTTACCAATTTTAAATTTCTTGTGCAACAATATCCCTGAGTGTTGGGTCATGATTTATTACAACACATTATAGACAAGATAAAAAATAACATATACGTCTCAAAAGAAGTTAAGGATCACACGATTCTTTCATATATCATGACATGACATTTTACTAGAGTAATAGGAAACAATCAAGGGTCCTTAGTTCATAAACTTGCATCTGTGCATGTACAACACTCGTGAGTGAGACGAAAATATAACTATAAGCTTAACTCTCTGTGTGAGTGTTTCTCATTTATAGTATCTGATTACCAAGGCGATGAAATTACACAATACATGTATGTCTCTTAGTAATCTTCTATTAAGTCAGTTAATCTTCTATCCGTCTTTCCTATTAATTTCTATTGATTACTTTAAACTTTTAAATGGGTATATGAAGATAGTAGAAAGATCATGCACTGAGACGGTTTTACCCATCTAGTAACGTGTCTTCCTGTTTAAAATAACTTCCTAAAATATTCTCACCGTCGCGTAAACACGTGCTTCGACGCCATGACCTTTCTGGGCCCACCCTCTTTAACCCAGTCATGGTGTTGTGATTAATATGGTGAAAAGAAGAAGGATAATAACATTTTTTAGAGAATTGCTTACGAGCACAAGGAATTCCGATTATATGTCTCCAGTGAATTGTTTTTTTCGTACCTCGATGATGGATTTTAGGCAATGGGGGAGATAACCCGCCATCACGAGATACGAGTAAGTTATTGTATATTTTACTCATATTCTGTATGTGAAATGAAACAAAATAGAGGAGTGTTGAACTATGAATGACGTCGATGTCAGCAAGTTGCTGAAAGTAGTTTATAACGTACAAATACTTGGGCGATGTTGTTTTCTCAAAAACATACTTTCTGGAGTATCATTCCTCTATAATGTAACATCGTGATATATTTCTGTGTCAAACAGATTCATATACGCTACGATGCCGGCTGGTATATCAATTTGGAAAATACTTATAAATAAATAAATAATTATGTTTAGTTATATATAATCATGTTCAACATAAATAACTATGTTGAACTTAAATCGCTTGAAACATCCCAGACTCAAATTGTGTACAAATAATCTCCACACATATAAACATGATTCTGGAAAAATGAATAACGCAATGTATGGAAAGTAAACAACATAACGAATACTTAAGATATTAATGTTTTAATTACAGTATTAAATTGGGAGAAAGCATACTGGTTTTCTCATAATAGTTGCGATATAAGTTAAAAACAAGATTTCTTCATAATAAGTCGTAAGAAAAGTTAAAACAGATTAACTTTAACAACATTGACCAGTTGACAAACTGAATATCCACATAGCTGATGAAACAATGTATCCTTCATTTCCAACAAAATCCATTACAGTATTCAGTATTTAAGTAAACACAATAAAATATGTCCGTACGCATACGTACAATGACAACTTATATTGTTATCTGTAAAAGTGATTCATGTGTTGCGGTAACTGTAGTCACAATAAAATATGCTTGTACTGATACGTACAATGACAAGTTACGCAGTTATCTTTAGAAGTCATTCATTTACAATGTGGCGTTAACTGTAGTAACAGTAAACCTGTGAACAATTAGCTACATGGTACGAATATAACTACTGATAAGCACAATATACACTAAAGTTCCATTCTTGACCAAATTTATACAGTGATTCAGATATGTACAAAATCATGACTTCATTTATCAGGTATGTCCAATCAAAGAAATAAATTCCTAAATCACAACAGTAAGTATGTTTTACCGCTTTTAGCAATAATTCGGCAATATCATTGCAGGCGATGCCCGACATGGGCTTCACGCATTGTTACCATATGAGGAATCAAACCAGGTTTTCGGCGTGACGAGCGAACGCTTAATCCACTGAGCTACTCCACCGCCCCATTAATCATAAAATGAGTGATACATACATGATTGTCCTCTTAGCACTAAGACTTGTGTTCCTCATAACAAATACACAGAATCACTCTGTACATGTAAGATCAGAATGGACATCCCTATTGCCAGGCTTAGGTGAGTGAGGACAATATTTACCTAAACGGTACTAAATGGTGTTAAGCTTAGTTTCCTCTGGACAATATTTAACTAAACGGCACTAAATTGTGTTAAGCTTATATTCCTTTTGACAATAGTTACCTTAACGGTACTAAATTGTGTTAATTAAGCTTGTGTTCCTCTGGACAATGGCTACCTAAACGGTACTCAATGGTGTTAAGCTTATGCTCCTCTTGGCAATGGGTACCTAGAACGGTACTAATGCTTCAATTCCTCTGCACAGTAGTTACCTAAACGATGCTTAATTGTGTTAGGCTTAGAATTCTTACAAAGAGTTATCTTAACGGTAAAACGAGTACATAGCATCGCTATACGCTACTGAAAAATATTTTCAATGTAACAGCCTTTTTCATGAATGCTAACCCTTACATTTGTAAAATGATATCTAGGTCATTCAAAAATACAATCAGCTTTTGGGGGCTCTGTATAAATGTATTAGTGGTTTAGTTCAGGTTTCTGTGACACAAGGTCACTGGATCAGATAACAGACAGCTGTGGCCATCATGTCAATTACGTTAACGTGTTCCAATTCATATAATTTACGAGATCCATGTCATCCAATAGGCTATATCATTGTACCTGCGCATTACAATCGCACTTTGATTTAGTCATTGACCCAGTCATATATACATACATCGTATATTCTTGCTTCTTTTAGTCACGGAACAACACGACATTAAGTTCTACATTCTATTACAATGTACATGATAGTTACATTAAATTATGCATCATTCACAATTATTCAGTAGAGTATGGATGCTTAGTTGTTCATACTTCATCATATTCACAGCCTTCTTGTAATAAGTTGGCTAAACACTGAAAGTGTTAAAAATAAAACGTATAGGAAAAATTATAAATATTTCAATCTTTTGTCTAACATCAAAAAGAATCACAATAACAAATTTGGAAATCCAATGATCGTACACTTTCTATAATATTAAATAGCTAATATATTATAATTGCCATACATTCGTTGTCAGTTAAGTCCAGTGGAGTGTGACGTGAAAGTGTGCAAGGAGACAGCAACATTTAGAAAAGGTACAGGATACAATGCATCCATCCCTTAATTAACATTTAAGGTTTTACAAAAAGAACTCTAACTTTATTTTTCAGTGTTTTTTTCTGTTGTTCAAGTTAAGAAATTAGTACATGTCCAAACTACTGGGAGAGCCTCAACAAGTGGTATCATTGTGCAGCTTTTACAGGTTACATGAGAACTATTATTACATACATATTGATCACTGATGTATTGCATGTATATATAATCTGAAGTATTTACGTCATATATAGATAATCATCAGTTAAAAAATATTCTAATAAACTTGAGAGATTGACTAACTAGTAAAATCATTTTTACTTTTTACTTCGATTAATCCTGTAATACAACATCCAATACACATGGATATACGCCGATTTTCTCAAATATCATCTAATTTCTACTTCGAGGTGTTATGGTGTATAGATAAGAGTGTCAGTAATAGTATCATGTCCATAACGATTTACAGCATGCGGAGAACATAAACTTCGTTATTTCATTTTCGTTCGACAAAGCGACACTTTAGGCATGAACATTCTCTGAACCAGGTTCCACTGCAGTAACTGTGGTGACAGTTGATGATATAAAATATACCGAGCACCAGAATCATCAGCTATTACTTTAACTAAATGCAGCGGAGACTGTTACTTGAGTCATCCTATAGAAACGTGATCAAACTGGCCATCATACATCATGAAGTCTGGGAACCTTCTCGGACCTTTCAGAGGAAGGGACTTGGTGTTATCCTTAGCCATAGTGTCGCTCCACGTAGGATCACCTGGTCAACAGTAACCGAACAATGCCAAGGTGGTCAGAATTGACAGAACCAGGAGATGATGAAGACCAGGAGAGCGATCAAGTCTCCTTCGAAGTGATTAAGGAAAACAAACAACCATCATTTCTGGAAAATGATTCTTGAAAACGTTCTCGTTGCTTGAAATGTCCTAGCTCTGTTCAACTGTTTCGCTGAACTAACAAAATCCACAGCTGTTCGCCAGTTGGCAACTGTGGTCCTCATATTGAAGGTAGATCTACAACTACAATGCAACCATTGGCAACGTCGACATCAGTTACAGTAACGTTTTCCACCGTAACAATCGGGTGTGACCAACAGCAATATCGCTGTCAGTTACAGTAATGCATTTTGACAGTTACAATAAGGTCCAGTGATTTGTAACATCGCTGTCAGTTACAGTAATGCATTTCAACAGTTCGTGTACACTTCTTACATACTACTCTGCAACACCAGTAAAATTTGCAGTCACAATCATCCCTCTCCTCCTTCACCAGTGTATAATACCCGCGCCCACAACACATCAAACTGCAACCATCAAGAGCGATGCTTGTCTTGTTGCACTTTCTGCCTCGAGTTCCTAAAGACCCGGATGTAGGATTAAAGTTACAGAAATCCGGAGACTCTTCTAAATATACAAGATCTCTCTTTGTAGGCCGTTTTTGGTTTTTACTGAGTCGTTTTAATTTCAGTCTGTTTCTGTCCACTCTAACTATACTTGCGCCATCAAAGCGTGCCTTGAGGGCTGAGCCTATTTTTCGAAAAGCCTTCATCTTTCTCCAACAGATTTTAACAGAGCAGGATCCGGAGACGCCATGGCACTTGCAGATAAATTCCATGTTGTCCTTGATGGTCTGGAAAGGAAACAAAATATTTTGAAAGAAGTGTTTACGTGTTGTTGTGATGGACATCACACATTATTATTTAGAAAAAGGGTTCACACATATATGTGACAACTATCCTTGGAAAAAGGGTTCACACATATATGTGAAAACTATCCTTGGAAAAAGGGTTCACACATATATGTGAAAACTATCCTTGGAAAAAGGGTTCACACATATATGTGACAACTATATATCCTTGGAAAAAGGGCTCACACATATATGTGAAAACTGTCCTTGGAAAAGGGTCCACACATATATGTGAAAACTATCCTTGGAAAAAGGGCACACATATATGTGAAAACTATCCTTGCTCGGTGTTTTCAGTTCTACTAAAATGGCTGTGTCAGTGACCTTTGCAAAACTAAAATCCTAAGCAGTTTCGTTGGACGGCCATTTTGTTTACCGGATTGTATACCGGATTATTTTATCTGGAGTCATTATTCTGACCTCATCCTAACAAAATGTACATTATATATTTGGACGTACGTCGTCAAACAGTGATACATGAACATAAAAGCGAAATCCAAACAAAAATGTTGAAGAGAGATTTGGGCCCTGCATCGCCTCACCAAGAGGCCCTCAGCGGCATTAAACCCTACCCAGTCACTCACTCTGTGAAGTCGCCTCTTAACCTAGAGGGGCAGTGGGGTAAAGTGTTCGCTCGTCACGTCGCAGACCCAGGTTCGATTCCCCACATAGGTACACTGTGTGAGGCCCATTTCTGGTGTCCCCCGCCGTGATATTGCTGCAATACTGCTATAAGCGGCGTAAAACTAAACTTAACCTAGCTGAAGAATAAGATGAGAAGGTATTCGCAAACATGTTGAGCGAAACTGTCTTCTCAAACGCGAACGTACGGGTCCAACGGGATCGTTGTCGAGGTGAAGTTTGATCTGACTGGTATTGGGCGTTATTCCTACCTTTCTCCCGGCACCGTTGTTCCAGACGTTCATCAGTCCAAAATCATTCCTTTTCATTTCGTTAGAGTCCACAAACTCCTTCGAGAACCTCTGTCCATATCTGATGTTGTCGGAACATCCTCCCCACTCGAAGTTCCCGTCTGTGACCAGCTGACGGGTTTCCGTGTCACACCCACATTGGTCAAGCTGGCCCCGTGCGCATGCGCGAGTGACGCTGTACATGACCCCGGCCGAAGATATGGCGTAGATGTACGCTGTCTCGCGACTCTCTGAAACAAACATCGCAAAAATGTTAATACATTGCAGAATAATGAATAACTATAAAATCTTCGTGAAACAATGCCTCACGTTGAAACAAGGTGCCACTTTATGACATTTCTAAGAAGGGCGTAAAACCAATCTCTTTAAATCAGCCTACACTCACTAGCATTTGTGACTCTCTCTTTGAAATGTTAGAGTGTTTAAGTTTCTGCATCATTCAAAATCAGAATTAGTTTTCATATTAATCTTTAAGCTCGGTCTCATTACACATGTAACATATTTGGAAATAATTCGGATGCAGTTTATCCTAGAAATTGTAGAGGTCCTAACACAATGGGTCCAGCCCAGTGAAATGATACTAATATCTGTATTGTGCGACTCCATATATACTGTTGCGTTTCACATGTCCTTTCAAGAGGAAAATGTTAAAATCATGAATATGCCCTATTTCCACTTGTGACGAAAATCTATTGTAAAGAGTTAATCAGAAAAAACGCCCCTTGAAGGAAAGTCGAAAAATATTTCACAACGCTGGGCCAATACGAGGAACCCGACCGCGTTGCCAACCATTGCCAACGTTGGACCAACGTCGGAATGCTATCTCGGAACTATAACTGTAAACTGTATTCCAACATTCATCGGGAATGATTAACCTTTCGTCATAATATAAGCTGAAAGGAAAAACACGATTAAAGTCTATTACAAGAAATGGGCAAATGAATCGAGGGAGATATATTTGTGATTGTGAAGACCCCACAACCCTCAGTGCCCATCCTATATCACCCCGCACCTGCACCCGACCACAGGTACAAGAATGTTCACTGTCGCCTCCACATCCAATCACCCTCTTTACATAATTCTCCTCGTGTTTGACCCTTGCTACGGCTTTAACCGCTTGACTTAACTCAAACATGTGCATATTTTCCTTTCCCAGTGAGAATGAACGCTCAACTTAATTCACCTTTCCACCCAACTAACTCGAATGCTAGCATACAGCTGTCCAAACAAACTGTGTTAATAAATCATGTTTGATGTTAAGAGACGCTACGGCTGTCTATCAGAGATAATTAAACTGTCAAAACACCCAGATCAGCCCAACTCGTCTTGTCCACTCCAGCCGATGTTTCTCGAGATGAAAAGCAGTTGTTGGGAAGATAGGTTATAAATGGCTGTTGTAAGCTACTGTTGTGGCGAAAACTGGATCAACATCTTCGGCAGTTCCCAGAGATTTACCTCAAAATGTAAAATACCTTTTGAAATTGATCATTATTTTATTATTTCATATCTTTACTTGTCGTCCATGAGACACAGGGCTTTATCAAGCAACATAGAACTTTATCGGTTCATAAATGCCGTGAATGTGTATTAACAAATTAGGATGAAACGTATCCTGAATACATTTCCATCATAATATATATTGATATATTGTCAAACAGGGCCTATGTTTACGATTTATTTTATTGTGATCATGTGGAATGTACTTATGCTGAAACAAGTTGATGTCCTTAAAGACCAAAAGTAAGTGCATTCACCCCTCCCGCCCCACCCCCGTACATCGTCACTGTCACTGTTCAACAAATCTAATAAAGTGAAAAAATAATCGATTCGATAATTCGATCCTGAGCTGTTGAAAATACCGTTCTTTTTCCTGTTTCATATCACGGTGGAACAAATTGATGTTAACTTAACGAAAAAGTACCAGTCAATTTTCAACTTGACAGCAATAAAGATTATACTTTTGTCGAGAACGGCACTCGATAAATCAATGGAAGTTAAACCCATACTGGCTATTGTCAAGCGCGACCGCCATTCAAACATCTACGCAGAGCGTGCCACATAACACAATTAGCTCTCGGTTTCCAAGTCAAACTTCATCTCATAACGAAGAGCAATGTCAAAACTTGGCACATCGTTGTTAGATATTGACAGGAACGAAAATTGTTTGCGCGACGTTATCGCGACGATCGCAACAACGCGGGGCGAAAGCTTACGTGGTTTCCTCGACGTTCGCAGGAAGCAACACTTCTCCCCGCCCCTTGGCCCGACCCCTTCCCCTTCCTTGGCACTTTTATGTGGGGATACGAGGAGATAAGACAATAGACAGATCCCTTGCCACTCGCCTAGCCTTGATTTCTAAACATGCAGAATAGTGTTATCTTCTGACATTTCTTCTCAGAAGTATGACTTTCAGAGAGCTACGAGAGCACTTTGAATAACAATAAACATTTCTCTTTCTAGTCCTGGAAACTCCGAGTTGAATGGGCAATATATCGTTTCTGTTTCTGTTTTAAATGAATCAATTAACACTTAATGCATATGATGGCCCACAGATAAATGGATCCAAGTAAATACGTTACTCGTATTGTGCCGTGTTGTCACAACACTTACAGAAGATGAGATTGTGCTTTCAAAACGATAACGTTAGAGTGTTTAAAGTGAAATGGGGCATATATCAGTATTATAAGTGGTTGGAATAAACACAAACATGTAATGATGATGAAAATAGTGTAGGGAGTGACTGTGATGGAGCAGGTGGGATTTGTTCACTCACAACAGACATCTGGATGTAGATACAGAGAAAATATGCTGACATGGCATGTGTTGCCTTAACCCACTCTAGTAATTGTCTAAATCGGTACTCCACCAGTTTAAAACTGGTGGAAACGTATATTTGGTAAGGATATTGCTGTGGACGTTTCTATGCAAGGGGGACTACTCTCACCTAACAGGCAGACTAACTTGTGGGGATTTTAACAGTTTTCGGTCAACTTACTTGTGCTCAGAACTTGCCCAAAGACGTTGGTGGTGTTGAAGGTGGAACAGTTCCAACGACGATCTTTAAACTGAAATTGACATTCTTCAATGCCAACATTGGCTCCCTCGTGTATGACGTCAATAAGTTTCTCTTCCTGGTCGCAGAGTTTTTGCTGCTTCGGTGCCAAGAACTGCAGGTTGGCACATCTCTTCCTGACTGGCACCTCTTGTAGTTCCTCAAGCAGGGTCTGGTAAGAACTCGTCATGCCAAGATACCTGGAATACAGAGTTCCACAGTGAAGCCAGCGATACGGTAGGGTTTTTCAGGGCTCTGAGCCTCTATAGAGGTTCACGTTTGCAGGTATGGTTGTAACAATGAGCTCAGTCTGTCATTCAGCTAGATTACGGCGTGTCAACCTAATGAGAAGGTCCGCAGTCAGACAGTTTACTTCTTTGGTGAAATTCAAAATCAACAACCATGGTTAGTTCCGAGTATGTTAAGATAGCTGGAACCATTCACAAATAATAGTCTCTTACATGTTTTGCATGACAGACATAGTCCTTTATAAGAATTACACTTCCTCAACTGTTAATCCTTTTCTTATCTAAATATATTCACCAAACCCCTTGTCTAGAAGTGATTACAGTCCCCTGGCAAAAGCTCCATCGTCCACTGTCGACTCCGACCACTGCTATCATGAGCATACACTTATGTATCTCTGTCAAATAGTGATGATGCCAGTTGTTTGCGACAAGGAACTTATTTCTGACCAACCGGGCGTATTCGTCACAAATACACGCAAAGGCAAGTCAATTGTTCACCAGAAAAAAAATCTAGAAGATATCGTATCAGTGAAAAATAAGGGTATTGGACTGACATATTTTGGGATATACGGATGAGGCAAATCAGGAAGTGCCCTCCACATGTACTGAGGCATCTAATGGTGTCACCTTGGTGAAACTCAATTTGACGCTAGCAGTAAGAACACTGGAACATGCACCATTCGGATTATTCTAGGTATACAGTACCGAGTAAACAGCTACGGGTCCTGAATGTCGCAAGTTTTATCACGTCCATTTTTGTATGTGTACTAACTTATGTGTGTATTACATAGCAAGATGCATTTCATGTTATTATATGTTGCTAATTATATTAAACGATTAGACAAATACTAGGTTTAATTGTTATGCATTTTTGTGTTCATGGAACAGATATATTCAACAGCTTAAACGCACGTAGAGACTTCCAAAAGACATTCCCAAACCCTAGGAATCCACGAGGCTCGATGAGTTTATGAAGTCAACTCAGTGTCTTTACTGCTTTTAATCAGAAGCATGTGTGTGAAAATAGCAAACGTGAAATATATCTCTCCCAAACTATTCCTAATATGGCGGAAATGCCAAATGGTATTACTAACGCGTTCATATGTACGTCTCCGAGATGTTATCAGCATATTTAATAACATGACCTGCTGTAAACCTAATTAATGTCACAGTGTTATCAGTAATAACGTGTTTATCCTGTTTTCGTCACTTCCACAGATATATCTGTTTGGTAGTTACACACTGAAATACGTCATCACCTCGCATTGCGCCTACCTCCTTGCTTCTAGCATGCCCATCCTGCACTTGGAGATATGTCATGTGTGCTTCATTCCAGTACACGTGAACAGATTATATATCGGTACGTAATAGGAAGGTGGCATATTTACGGCTTTTGACATTCCCTCAAGTCACACGCTCAATGTACATCCGAAGCTTGTCTTGGCAATTTTATTGGTGAACATGACCAGTAACAACGACCGTGTGATTAATTTCCAACCACCATGGAAATGATGAAAACTCGCACATGACGATTGTCACTGTGAATCCACAGCAATATTCCCGAGACAGGTTGTGTTACAATACAGTGCTCAGAAACTATGATCTCTATGTGCCCTAAACATAGAAACATTCTTCCGTGGGCAACATATTTGATGGTGCTCCCGTGAACCAGATTAGCGAGCAACGATGGTTTTGACCTTGTGTGACCTTGTGTATTCCTAAGGATATCGTTTTAAATACACATTGAACAGGTTTTGATTTTGTTTTGTGTGCTGATCGAGCGATAGTGGGAATCATCCTAACAATCCTGAACATTTCATTTGCAGAGAAAGTCTTATCTTTGTCGGGGTCTGACGGCTGACCTGAGATGTTTAAGGTGTAGAAGCTTCTCAAAGGTTAAGAGGATGTTAATGCAAGCAGAGATAAAGACACCTGAACCGAGATATCCACCAATGCTGAAGACATGTCATGAAGTTATCACATGGATATATTTCTAACAGGTTCGTTCGGATAACAAATAAGTAATAGCAAGGTTTGATTGTGCAGATTACTCCGCAACAGAGCCCTTCTACAGGCCGCATTCCTTCCCCGGTATTGACCAGAGGTTGATGCGACCAGACAATGTAATCCCAGTAAATCCTGCCTTGCGGAGCACAGCACCTTTGATGTGAGGCTCGAGAGATATAATTTCACTTTCTCCTCGCCTAATCCAATTTGTTTAAGACAACAGTATGCTCTCTGGAGTCCGTCACCAGAGCAATTCCATTGCAGCGAACATACCCGCAGCACTGTTTCCACATTATGATACTTACCTCGAAACGCATCTGTGCAGTACGTTTAAATTGTTTCTTGCACTTCTTTGAGTTCAATTAAATATGTTAAAAAATACGAAAAAAACATAATTAAAAGCATTTCTGGTTTGTCTTTCCAAGGTGAAATGGAAAAAACTTCGAGATTCTAAATAAGATAGATCGCTGCCGTTAATTTGACTTTAGTTGACGGGACAAAACTGTCTAGTTATAAGTATTTGTTATTTTTATGTTGCTTTTCATTTTCAGGCTACCTTTTGTGACACAAGGAAATTAAAACACCGACAGTTCAATGCGAGAACATCATACAAAAATGTGACCGCATTTTGTGCAAAAAAACTGAAAGGTATTCTGAGATCGGTGCAGAAAACATTCCGATGTATCCCAAAGTGCCTGGGTGCAGTTGTATCGCCTTGTTTTCTGTGTTAAAGTATATGTAGCCATATATGGTATAAACCTGACGTCTTTCATGATCCAGCGGGCCCAGTGTGCATCTCATCTTATGCCTCTTCTACCTGGTGGGAAGATTAACGCCCTATAATCCTCACTTGACAGTTCGCTACAGCATATCACACTAGGAAGTCTCTAGTCGCCACTATCAGACAAGAAATCGAGGACCTATATGACTCTCGTCTCATCCCCTTCTTCAGCGTCTTGTGATGATGGATGGGGACTTGTCCATGGACCACGGCATGATTGATAGCAGGTGTGATGGGGCTTGACGTGGGTATTATAAACAGGTTTTAACTTTTTATGCAAATGCTTCTTGTGGGGACTTGACAAGTGTAAGGTAATACCTGTAGTCGTTTAACCGAAAGGGGTGAGATGTGTCAAAAAATAGCCGCTTGGGTGATTCGTGACGACAGCAGCCGAGATGTAGATGACATGATAGCCCCTGGATAGGTTATGACTACAGTGTCATAATTACACAGATAACATCAAAATCATAACACGTGAATTACCATACCCCACAAGCTCGATACAATGTTATCACATACCACTAAAGCTATATCTTTGATGTGAAGCTTTGTGGTTGGATATGAGAAATAAGTTGAAGGATTCCAGTGTTAGTTTTCATGGGTGGCGTAGTAATCAGTGAAACATCACAACGAACTGTGTTTGATTCATCTGGAAAATAATCTTCCACAAAAAATGTCCATACGACGAAAAATGGACACTGAAACGTCAGTCAGCTAGACCACATACCGTCATCCGGGTTATATTCCCCGGATGTCTCAACTTTCGAAAATGACATGCGCAGTGCTATCTGAGCATCGTCTTTACCTGCCCAGATGCTGAAGATACCGAGATACGTTAATGATAGTATTCCATCTTACAACAACGCAGGCATAATGATTACCTAGGGGAGTCTTCTAGTTTTTTCTGGCATATTGACAACCCCAGATGGTGTCATTTTTCAGCCCTGTTCATCCCAGCTGTCATACCAGGAGATATAATCACATGCTTCATAATTGCAGTTGGACGATGGATTTCAGTGCCGAAACTCTGGAGACAAAAAACATGGGACTATGACACCCCATGTTTTTCACACTTGTCTTGTCGCAAACTCTCTCATTAATCACGCGTTTCATTTAAAGTTATCGCCCGTAGAAGCATGTGTCTTGCCATAGTTTATGTCGCTTCCGGAGGAACATATGTTAGAAATGCATCATCCAGCTTAATGAGAAATAGTCGTATTGGTGTACTATACAAAACGTCTGATCACGCTTTTTGCCTCTGTTTTGCCTTTTGCGGCCTTGTTAATCTGCTTCAGCTGACGACCAAGGCTGGCTATTGAATATGTATTATCATATGGTTATGGAAAGGGTTTTGTTGCTTTCTATACAAAATATATAATGCAGAGTTAATCGTGTTGGATTTCTAGGTTATATAAAATATTCACTATTCGCTCACTGTGAATAAAGGAGTGTGAAGTAAGTGACATAAGCCTAAACACAATGGGCTGGTGTGTCTCATCCACAGAAAAACAACAGTTCTAAAGTATAGATGCTTCTGTGCAGAACAGGTCGGAAAGAAGCTGCTGCGTATCTTGGGATATAACCCACTGATGAAATCAGATAATCTGACACCGACTTAACATGAGAAATGTTACCACGACGGTAACTATAAACCCATCTCTCTGCATATCTTAAAAATGAAACAATTCGAGACCACCGACGATGCGTAACATGGATTATTGAGAACACCTGACAACTGTTTTTACACGAACACAACACTGACACCACAATACCACCCTGACACTCTCATCAAAAGCATTCTTTTATTAAACTGCTAAGTCGATTGGCCTTGCTCTACACCAAGGTCTGTTAAGTTAAGCGAGAGGGTATATTGAATTACCATAGATGAGCATTCTAAAACGTGAAAGAATCCTTGGGTAAGTATTGAAGTTAAGTTCTGGCAAATTTAGTCGTTTCTAAGACTCTGGTATTTGGTTCTGGCTTAACATGTGAACTTTGGTAGCACCAATGGTTCTGAGCCTGTCTGCTAGAAGTCTGTAAATAACTCCAGAGAGTCTGTAGACACGCTCGATACAGCCGTGACAATGCACACTGACTGCCTATTTACACACGGAAAAATAGTCCCCAGGGCACGATTTCTAAAACGGATTGATGATTAAAGGAAATGTGGGTGTTAATGAAATT